TAAAATTAATATTGGCATTTCAATAGTAAATTATGACTCAAATTAATTAATTAATCTTCATATCATTGATTCACTTTTTATCGCGGCCCAGAGTTAAGTGAGAAACCTGCTTATTTTCGAACAGGAATTACTAAAAAACTACTCTTTTTTTCTTCCCAAAAATGTAGATTTAAATGTAGTTTTTAAAAGAGTTAATTTTGTACAACAGACTTTGTCTGACGGGAAAACCGCTATCATCGAATTTGTTGGTTTGAAATTTTTTTTGCAATTAAAAAAAAATCCGAAAATGAGACTAGCAGTATCTTTCTTAACATTCCTTATTACATATGTGGAGAAAATTTAAAGAAACAATTGTACACAACTTTCTCTAAAAAGCTAATTTTGTAATACAGACTTTGAGGCGAAAGTCTTGATCTTCAATTTTCTAGTTTTCATATTTTTTCATTTTCAAAACGGAGATTAAATTCAAAACCGGAAAAATGGGTTTAGCACCATATTTTTACTGTGTCTCAATGCATAAGCACAGAAAATTTAAAGAAAACAATTGGAGCAGTTTTTGAGAAAAAATTGAACATATGAAGTGAAAATAACGGCAAAACTACTCGTATTTCAAAGAATTGTACATGGCATTTTTAAACAATTAATTTTGCGCGACACTTTGAGACAAAATCACTATCTTGAATTTTGAGTTTTCATTTTTTTTTCAATTTTCGAAAAATCGGGGATGTCAGACAGACCTGCACTATTCTCTTAAACAAATTCAATAAAAAAAATGTAGAGCAATTTTTTTGAAAATTTTGAAAATGTTCAAAGGCCTTCATATAAATTCCCCCCCAGAATGAATATATCGGTTTTAAGTCCCAGAGTCCGATACATCAGTTAGAACGATTGGGGAATATCAATTTTGAAGAAATATCACCTGAATGGTTTATGCGCTAGACTTATGCACAGACGGACAGATATGCCGTCAATCTATTTTTCAGTATCAATGATCCACAAAACATGACATTCTTGTCACATCACGTGTTAAACAATTTTCTTTTATATTTAGCAACTGGATTTAGTTACTTTTGCCTCACCAGGGCCCGGCAATAATTTTTTTTTTGTTTTCCAGCGCACAATGTCAATACTTTCTCTTCTTACATTAGAAAGCACGAGAACGTAGAAATTGGAATATCTTTAGTGCTTTATCGAGGATTCATTTGCACATTTTACTTCATAATAATCATATAATACAATAATAAAATATGTTGTAATTAATAAGTACTTTAATAGCCTTTAATAACTAGTCAATTTGACCCAACGTTCCAGCTGACGTCAAGAATTTTCGCGTTCCCATTGCCGGGTTAAATTAAAATAATTGAAATCCATTGAAAAATTTTCCTTTACGTACGATTCCCACACTACTTAGTCTTAACCAATACAGTTAACAAGATTTTTTTTAAATTCAAAGGGCCGAAACAATTACTAAACTTACTTAAGGTGTTTTCAGGAAATTATAAGTTAAGAATTTGTTTATGTGTGTATCCCAGTACGGTATCGGTATATGTGTGTATCCCAGTACGTTCGTAAAAGCTTACAATATAGATCCATAGCGAGTTAATACATAGCGAGTATATAATTAATTTAATTTGCTATTGGCATTAACTCGCCATTACTTGCACATGTCTTTGTTACGACGTTTCTCGCGTGTTAGATTTGATCTAACAACAGTTTATGTTGTATTTATTGTTTTATTTACAACAATAAAATTCGTGCATTAATATTCCGAGATATTTGTTATTGAGTTCTATTTGTATAGATGTACAAATGCATAGATGTAATGCAGGCTCATAATTTTTACTTTTCTGTATACATTACGTATATACGAAGAAAAATCATTGCTGGATCCTGATGATGAAAAAGGGGAAAAATCCAGTTGCTAAATTAAGAAAAGAATTACACGGGGTTTAGCCAGAATCCGTTTTGTGGGTCCTTGATTCCAAAAAATCAATTGACGGCTAATGCCCCTCTGTGAACACTACTAGCGTCTAGAACATACGTGGAATTTTTTCCAAATTGAAGAAACGCCAGTCTATCTGGCTAGAGTCGAAGCTTTGAGATTTTGAAAAAACAAATTCTTAAAAATTTGGGGGTACTTTACACGAAGCCATCCGTACAATTTCCAAATTTTCTAGAAAGTGTCCAATTTTTTTCTTTACATTTCTTGAAAGAGTAGAGTACCATACGCTTATTAAGGTAGCATACGTTTCACGATTAACTCTGAATTTTCGAAAATTACACAAGTTTGAATATTTTTTGGCCTCTTCCTACAACTACAAAATTGAAGACAAGAGATTGTTTTCTTCAATTAAAATTTGTTCTCCATGGTAAGTCCTTTCATTAAGATCAGATTTTTTTAAATATTTCGGTAGTTTTCGCGCAATTCGCGCAATTTTTTTTTTAAAAAAATACTTACGAAACAAGATTTTCTCAAAAACGGTTCATATTTTTTCTTTAAAGTTTTGGTAGGGATAATACTAAACGCATACTCTAAGATGACATAAACTCCATATTGCTATATTCTTCTATTTTCTCAAAAATTACATAAATGTAGTTTTTTTGGTTTGTTTCTCACGTCAATATTTATAATAGCTATAATTAGCTGCTCACATTATAATACTTAAAAGTACAAGTGCTTTAAATAATGTCATATAAAGCTTCTCGAAAACTCATCGTTTTGTGAGAAAACTAACTCAAATTGTCGCACTTTCAGGACCGCTCAAACGCTATTTTCACAAGAACGGCTCGTAAGTTTTTCGCTTTTCGAACGTTTCCAAAGGTTAGTGCGAATTGCACTCTTTAATTTGACGTAAAGTTCATTTTTAGGTAGTTTTTTGTTTTTTCAAAAATTACACAAATGTAATTTTTTGAAAGATCACTCTCGGCGGTATTACGCACATTTTCAGCAATTTGTAAACACTATTGTGTTTGTGAGTTAAAGTACTCCAAATAATTTATAATATTTTCGAAAACTCAAAAATTACGTGAAAAAGTGCTTCCAATTTCGAATTTGCTGTAGCTGTGAAGGATCATTTTTTTAAAATGGCTCGAAGTTTTTCAACGAAAAATGCCATTTAGGATAAGGTTTTACTGTTCTTTATTATTCTTAAATTAATATTTCCGTTCTACTATTAGAAAACCGAAAAAATAAGAATATTTAAAAAAAAAATACTTTGGGCGGCGATAGATGGCAGCAGGCAAGAGTATGTGGTAAGTTCGAATGGGTAGCAGAGACGAAAGGAAATAGAAAACTAATACGGGAAAGTCTGTGACATTCAGTAGCACCACTAGTTTTTTTAAATACGTTTCAGGTTTTTGCAATTCATCAGAACTTTCGAATTTTATGTCATATTTTTGGAGAATAAGATATTTACACAGAATGGCGGCTGAAACGCAGGCACCAGTGTCCAGGTCGCGGCCGAGTAGTTACTGTGGCTGCCGAATCCTCCGCTCTCACATCTGTAGTTGTTTCAGACTAGAGAAAAAAAGATGGGATTTCCCTCACCGCACCTAAGAATTGATTCTTGTATACGTATAAATAGGACCGTAAAATAACCGCTATTACATACAATTCGGACACGAGCGAAAACTCTGCACCTGGTGAATAATTTTCTGAAAACTGAAAATTGATTTAAAATATCACCCAACTGCGAACGCCCGTCGCCCGAAATGTGTTTTACAGCATTATAGGGCAGGAATATACTTATACAAATGATTAGAAAGCTTTAAAAACATACAGCTGACTCCCGATATAGTGAATCCTCGGTTATAGTAAACTTAGGAGTAAGTGACTCGTCCCGTTCCACTTACATTACAAATAAACTTACGATTTGGCTATAGTGAACTTAAACCTCGGCTATAGTGCACGTACGAAATAAATTCTGGAAATTAATTGGATCTAGCATGATATTAAGCGAGTATAAGGGCCTTTAGTGAGTACGACAGTGGCATTGAAAGGTGTCAAGACTGCATTACGATACATAAACACAGAGGACAACGCAGAATCAATTATGGAGAGAACACGAACTCTGGGGAAGGATATACAAAAATTACAAATGAAAAATGTACGATTCAAACAATTGGAAATAATTTATTTTTTACGGACAAATAAAGATATGGAAATTTTCAATTCGTGCTGACTATGAATTCTACTGCATCTCTATATTAATAAACTGAATCGTTGTGCAGATATTATATTTAATTTTGACATCGGATATTGTGAACCTCTGATATGGTAGTTAGTTCCCAGAAGTTCACTACAACCGGAGTCGACTATAATTTGTTACATAAACCTGAATCAAAATATTATTAGAAACTACAACAATGAATGCAATATATAATAAAATCTAAAATAAACTCAGAACTGTTGCAGACATTTTTAAAGTAGATTTGAAGTCAAGGTTATTTAAAGTAGGAAAATGGAACAGATGTGTTTATATTTTCTAACTGCAGCCCAACAATCGAAAAAATCGTAAATAAAACTACAACAATGTGTTTTAACAAAAATCTTTGAGATTATTTTTCAGCCTGTACCAGTGTTCTAAGACAGTAACAAATATTCGTTATTTTCTCAAATATATTCTTTTGCGTTTGAATTTGATGCTGAAAAATATCAAAGAAAATTTTTCTGATAGCATGAATTATTTTGTTATTTTTCATATTTTTCAAACACACAAAATAGTGAAGTTAAAGACAAAAGAAATTTTAGGAAAACACGATTTTGGCTGTAGAGGAGCGTGGGTAGTTGTTAGGGGACTATCGAACATGTGAAAAATAATATTTTTATCTTAAGAGTTATCGTGTATACGTCATTTGGTTTAGGGGAACGTTTTACTATCTTATCCGGGGGTACCCTATGTGACACAAAAATAGTTTTCCGGTAAAAAGTGGGGCAAATTAAAAAGAATATGCGTTATAAGTTATTATAGACAAAATAAAAACATCAAATTATGACTCACCTGTGTTCTATTATTGTCAGCCTGTAGTTTACACAATTGTGCTTCTAAATCTTGAAGTCTCTCTTCAAGTCTCTGGGTTAATTCCACATTAGAATCCTCCTGAGTACGTGATTCTTCTAACCGTACTGAAACAAAAATGAAATAGTGGCAAAATGTCAATTACTTTAAACGACTATAATTTTAAGTAATATTTGTATGTTAAATTTTACTTGCAAAATAAGTTAATGAAGACCAAGCAAATATGTTCTTAAGACGGAATAATTGGGAGGGGATTCTTCAGCAGATATCCTGAAGATGAGAGAAAAGATTTGACATTCTAGAGGAAGGCAAGATTGGGCCATGATTGACCATATTATTACGACACGAAGAATAAATGGCGCAATAGCATGCAGGCGAAACATGCAATCGGATCATTAGCCTTTGATGATAAAAAAATAGAGGGGAGAGTAAGACTCTGGGGGCAGCACAATGAAGTTATCAAAAGAAAGAAATCTAAAATGATGAGATCATTGAAGATGTTGATGTCCCAGATAGGAGATAACAAACAAGCATGGAGAACAGTTATACTCCAATAGGCCTATGGGCTCAACACACAAAATAAAACGAATTCCGAGGCAGTGGGAAGGATGATTGGACTCTGAGAGTGTAAATGATAATGAGGTAGACGGAGCAAAGGTAACTTTAGGGTTCTAAAAGAGCACGTACTTTCTCGCCTTTAATAATAGGTATGTAATACTCGTTATACTCGTGCAATTGTATTAATTTTGTAAATAAATTATAAAAATAAAAGAATGTTTAATCATTTTAAATTTTAGGTATTCCTTTTCCTTTACATGAATACCCTGGGACATTTTCTAAACAAAAAAATAGCTCCAACGTTTTTGATTAAATTATATTATTCGATAGTATAAGAAAAGGTGAAGGTATAATTTTCGTTGAAAATACTGATTTTTCGAAAGTTGCAAACTTCAAAATCTTTTCTACATTCTAATTTTTATCCAGAAAACTTTATATTTTTATTATATCCATCAAATTTCAGCTTTGCTGAAAATCTGGTAATATGAAAGGAAAGATTTTTAAGAATTAGGACCTTTGCAATGCTCCCAGTACACCGAGGGAAGTGTAAGAAATCTTGTTAATAACTTGTCGTTCGATTTGAATGAAGCGCGCTACGCGCACGGCGTTGCCGACGTGGGCGTTTCGTTCTAGATCCTCTAAAAAGCACACGAACGTCTGCCTTCAGGCCAATGGCTTGTTATTTGGAGGAGTTTTTACGTTAACAATTTTTCAACATTTAAGAATTAATTGCAAGGAGTACATTGTGCCCAAAATGCTATAAATACATAATAATTTTGTTTAAATATATATTTTTTATTGAAACATATTGTCAATTGCAGTAAATTGGTAATTACAAATTTCTGAACAATAACTATTCTAAAGTATTGAAACCATACGTATAAACATTTTCAATATAAGAAATTACATATGTATAATGTCTAACACACAGAAATGGGAATTTTTTAAAACACTGATTTTTCAAACAATAAACCCCTAGTTGGTGAATGTATAATAGCCGCAAAGGAAAACAGTCATTCAACTTACGTGGATGAACGTGTCAGTGTATTTAATATATGTATTTTAAATAATGCCCAACCCTCCTCATTATAAATCGTACATTCGGTAAAAAAAACTAAATATTTTGAAGAAAAAAACACAAATTTGACAATTAAAAGTGCTTTTCATACAGGTAAATTATGTTTCAACAATTAGTCGTAATTCACAAAAATGAGCTACCGAGTCATTGTTCTCGAGTCTTTGTAGCATTCTTATCTGATATTTCCTGAAAGCTAGCAGTATTTCAAACAGGTTTTAAACATTTTCTAAAAGATTGTGTAAATGTATAACAAAAAGTCGAATGTAAGAAACGAACACAGATATATCAAATATACAAATTCTAACTTACGAAGCATCCAAATATTGCGAATTACGCCAACACAGCGCAGTAAATTTAAACCCGCAATGAAATTTGCTTCGGAATTTTGACCAAAAATTCTCATATTTTCAAAAAATTGAATATGACCTTATTTGAAAATCAATTTTTGATAATCATTTCATTTAACAAATGTATTTCTACAATTATAGTTGTAGGAAGAACCAAAGACGAAGTACAATTAATTAGGAGCGGGCATTTATGTTTCTCGCAAAATTACACAAAGAATACTCATATAAAAAATAAAAAAAAATAAAAAGTCAACGAGACCTTATTTGAAGACCAGTTTCTTATAAACACATTTCTTTAAAGAAAATGTATCTTTATAATTGTAGCTGTAGGATAGAATTTTATTTTTTAATTTACGCAAAATTAGGCTTTTCAACGAAAATGAGACCTGCACCAATCCCTCGAATGTTCTTTGTGCTGGCTAACGTTTCAATAAAAGCAAAAAATGTTCTGCGGTTTTCAAGAAAATATGGTTTAAAGAAAGTAACAATTGCCTGTTATGATTGCCCATTGACACTAAATTTCGCAAAAAATACTCATCTTTTAAAACTAATTAAACATTACCTTATTTGAAGATCTCATTTGGATGAACACATTACATTAGAAAAAATATCTTCATAATTTTTGTTGTAGGAAGGCCCCAAACAAATTTTGAAATTGTTCCATTATCAAAAAATGAGAGTTATCCCTCAACAAAAGATCTTACCATTTTTTAAACGTCAGACTATTCAACAAAATTTAATCAAAACCAAAGGAGCTGCTTTTGAGAAAAAATGTATAATTAAAATTAAACATTGCCCATTTTTCACACAAAATTCTGCGAAAAATACTCAAATTTTCGAAAAATCGTGCATTACCTTACTTCAAAACCAATCTTTAAAGAACAGATTTTACGAAGTTATTTAGTTGTTACCATATTTACCATCGTTAATATTTTAGTTGTAGAAGTCCCCGAAATTTTTTTTTCAATTTTCGAAAAATTAGGGTTTTTAACCAATATGAGACCTGCACTATTTTATTAACGTCCTTCAGACTATTCAACAACAAAATTTCATCAAAATCAATGAAGGCATTTTTTGGAAATTTCGAAAATGTCCCAAGGGCTTCATGTAAAGTACCGCCTAAAGTACAATATCAGCTTCAAATTCAAAGAGCCGCGACGTCAGACAGATTGATCAAAAAATATTAATTGTAGAGAAAATCGGCTGAACAGTTTAGCCGCTAGCATTGTTCACAGACAGACGGACAGTCAGACGTTTTGCCATCAATCGATTTTTTATATCAAAGCCTTATTGTCCACAAATGTGGACTCACTTGACCTATGTCCCAAGACACCGCATTAATCGGCAGTTCTTAGAAAATGTGTCAATATTATGAATCATAAAAATTGATGATTTGATACGCTCATAAATGACTACAATTGATGTTTTATGCACATTCAGCTGCTATGTTTATTTGCTACAAAACAGAATATCTGAATAACATTGACATAATTCGTTTACATAGCGACAACGCAATGTTACCTTTGCAAGGAAATTAGCATCAAAATCACTAGTGATTTCGATCAAAATCGAAATCATTAACATTTTCTCTACATGTCAATGTAGAAAAATGTTCATGATTTTAACAACTATACAGAAAATGTAGTAGAAAATAATTGTCGGCACCTGTAATATACAAATGGTGTAATTTACATTCATATAATAGTTATAATACGATTTTAGAGAGTTTGAACGTAGTGCTATAGTCGGCGCAAGAGGGATGTACACAATGTGGCGTCATATCAGCTTGTGGCGCCTTGTACAAACGTGACAAAATGTTAGCCATGTGCATTTCATGATCATGGACAGTGCTGGCGGGAAGAGACGCCGGGCTGAACAATGGCCAACCTAGGGAGCGGAAGGGAAGGGGTGCCGTGTCGTGGGTGGCCACTTCTGAACCCCGTAGACCACTTGGGGCAAACTTGTGAACCCCGTAGACAGACTGGCTGTCGAAACGCGTCGGCGGAAACAGCGAGATGACGCAGTTCCATCAGCCGGCCCAGAAGGTAATATAAACGGACCCCGGACCTGAACTCCTTCGGATTCTTGGACGCGTCGACGCTGCATTTCAATGCATAGGCTACTGAGGCAGGGAACTGAAGCCGGTGTGCTACGTCGAGACGGGAGGTGCGGCATACTCGCTTGTATGCTCACGTAGGCTACTGGTGCATCACACCGAACAAGATATCTAATTATCAGGCCAGCGGTGGTGGTGACCAGGAACATTCCTTCTAGTAACGGGTCAGTATTGTTTATTGTAATTATTGTACATAGTATTCAGGTGTTGGAGCATATTTGAAATAAATAATAAATTACAAACCGTTCACGTCTGTGATTTATTGCCCCGGCAAAGACGCCACAACAGCATCTTCGAGGTCGCGATGGCATTTGGATTTTCACGAGTACGTACGACCATTCCACGAGTGTGCCATGAATATCGGGAATCCGGTAAAACCACACCTCCGGCATCGCTTGTGCAATAACGTGAAAGATTGTGCAATAGCGGGACCGACGACTGAGGAAAATCATTACATGTGACGGATGTGCAACACGTACGCAAATTGCAGCAGATTTCAATGCCAACAAGTGCCAGCTTGCGAACCATTCAACAAGACATTATCGATATGGGGTTTCGGAGCCGAAAGCCCACTCGTGTATCCTTGATGACTGCAAGACATTAAGTTTTACGCCAGGCCTGGGCACGACAACACCCACATTGAACTGTTGATGACTGGAATCACGTTTGCCTGGTCTGAAGAGTTTCGATTCACATTGTTCCGAGCGGATGGACGTGTACCAGTATGACGACGTCATGAATCCAGGGACCCTGCATGTCAACTGGGGGCTGTTCAAGCTGGTAGAGGCTCTGTGATGTTATAGGGCGTGTGCAGTTGGAATGATATGGGATCCCTGACACGTCCAGATACCACTCTGACAGGTGATACGTACGTTGGCCTCCTGTCTAATCATCTGCACCCATTTATGTCCATCGTGCATACTGACGGACTTGGGCAATTCCAGCAGGACAATACAATAGCCCATGCGTCCAGAATTGCTATAGAGTGACTCCAGGAACCTTCTTCTG